CCGGAGTTTTGTTAAGGCCTTCACTTTTTCAAATTAAGGAAAAGAAATAAGAGGCCTTTCATGTATAAATAAATGACACAGAGGTGCAATCAGTCTTTGAGACCTTGGTTTAGTAGTTAAAATTGAGATTCTAGAAATTAGAGGTTCTAAGTATAAATCTCCTTGTCCCTTATTTGCTTTTTAAGTTCCACCCTATCCTCCGCCAGAAGCAAAAATAGATACAGGTGCAATCTATTTTTTTTGTTTTAACCTCTTGGATGGAATTATATTTTTTTTTTAACAATTCATATCCTTTTCTTTTTTTTTTTTTTGCGGGGGTTTATTTTCCTTTGCTATTTGAATGCTATTGCTATGATTTCAATGCATAATAATAATCACAAAATATTTTTTTTACCAACAATATTTTTTTAATGAGTTTATTGTCTTTTTGTAATAAAATATGCAATTGTGTTCCTATGTTGTTTTTTGCTCTTTTTTTCCCAAATAATAAATTAGAAAAAATATCCCTACAAAAAAACTCTATAAATTGTATTAGTTTTAAAAGGTCTTTTACGTATTACTTTTAAGAGGCCTTTCATGTATAAATAAATGATGGAATTCTCGTGTGTCATATTAGATCTAAGTGCAATCAGCTGAGAAGATTTTAATTTAGTAACTAAAATTGAGACCCTAAAATTTTTTTTTTTTTGTCAAAAAAAAGGACCTGGTCCCACTTCAGGCCCCAACCCTTATTCGGGTTGTTGGGTTACCCCATTTTCGTTACTGGGACTCGAACCGGTGACCTACGGGATACTACCGCATGTGGTCACCGGCTGAGCTACCCAGGAAGGCCGAGACCCTAAAATTAGAGATCTTATATTCGAATTCTTTGACAATACTTTTTCCTTTTTCAAGTTTAACCTTTTTTATAATAAAATATCTATATCTACCTAGTATATAAGAAAAGAGCCAGATTTAATGCTTTGCTTTCCTCTTGCCACGTGGTTTGTTATGTATCTGACAAGTGGCAAGTTGTTTAGTCTTCTATTTGTTTTCCTTCTTTTGCTATTGCCCCGTTTTCCCGTCAAATTGCATTCCCCTCAAATTGCATTGAAGACCCCTCAAATTGCATCGGAGCCTATTCTGTGCAAAATTCAGCCTACCTATTCTGAGCAACTCCAGTCCCAACCAGCTATGCTACCAAACCCAGCATCTCTTTCCCAAATTGCCGTTGAACCCATTTCCTCCCTTTCCTCTGCCGCACGGCTATTCTTAGCACAAATTCGGCGCATCTGTCCTGAGCAATCCCCAATTCCAGCCGCAAAAAGTTTGGATTTTCCATGATTTGAGCGATGGGTTTTGTTGCTTCCTTCTTTAAGCCAGCAGGTCAGCTGCTACTCCTGCAGCCACTTCATTTGCTGACCGTTCACATGGTCTTTGTACTTCAGAGCAGAAGAATTGGGTGCAGGTCAACTGCTTTGCTTACACTAGCTGTTTTTCCCTCTTTCTCTGATATCCAATTAACCTATTTCTGTATCAATTCCGTCTCATGTTGCCGAATTCTTGGAGCCCCACGTGATAGTTGTACTTCCGAGGAGTGAAATGGGGAACTTTTTGTTAGGTATGCCATTCTATTTTGATCAGCTTTGGTGTTCAATTTTCCGCCTAAATTATGCTTTCTATTCAACCTTCATCATCCGTATGATTACGATTACAATTATCTGCTTGGATGTGATTTTTCCCTTATTCCAGTTATGCTGCGAAGTAGCGTTCCTATCCACTTAGCCTGTGCCTTTTCCAGCGGCTGACGAAATGGGATGCACGTATTTAACAGTGCATCGTGCTGCCTCCTCTGCTTTGTGAGCTGCAATCAAAATCCTCCGAGCCTTTACACCTTGTTCTTTGGAGCCTCTCTGGTGAGAAAAAAACTCCCCCTTTTTCCCCCCAAATTTTCCTCTTATGAATGGTTCTCAGATTAATAAATTCTAATATACAGATATATGTTTCAATTGATAGGTTCCTTTTGCTGCGGTTCCTTCGACCAACCTTTTAACTTGAAGGTCAGTTTGCTGTCTTCCTTCAATCTATCCACAGCTTTTCTTTTTTTGAGTGCCTATATTTTCATAAGTGAAATTTCACCTTTCCCTTTTCTTTTTTGTAGTTTTTCTTCAGTTTCTGCTTCATTTATTTTAAGTTTATTGGTGCTGTTTGTTTTGTGTTATCCTTTATGAAACAAACGATTGCTTATTTGAGCAGGTGATTTTGTTAATTTGAAATATTTGATTAAAAAACTTTCTTATAGACATGGCCTAACAAAATTATTGCTGAGTACCAGTTTAAACAATGAATATTGGGTTGTAAAGGATGCATTATAGGGTGTGTGGAATAGTTGATTCTATGCTATCTTTATCATATTCTGGCCTTAAACTGTGAATGGCATATAGTTTAAAGGATGATAAGTTAGAGTAATTTATTTAATTTTAAGATTGAAGCCATAGGAAGCTGGAATTTATAAGAAAGGCTTTAAAAGACAAAACGAGTTTAAAATAAAATCGCATAATCTTTTTAATGTTACAGACCTATTTTGGTTGACAGTGAATAGAAGGCATATACTTTTACAAAAGCTTAAAATGGTTAACTTGGAAAATATGCAGAAATTAGTGGCATTAAAATTTTACCAAATGAAGCTGTCATAGACATATTGAATGCCTGTTACTAAAATTTTAGCTAAGATTTCAGCTTGACTCTAATGTATGATCTTCAGGTAGCTAAAGTAAGCAAAAGCTCTCGAAAATGTCAAGTCATATTAGACAATAGGCATTCAATATGTCTATGACAGCTTGATTATCTCAAGCTTAGATTTTTTTTTTGGTTGGTATCTCATGCCTAGGATAGACTAAATAACAATTTTTTGCTCAGAATTAAAAGCTGTTCACCCATTTGCTGATGTTATTCTAAATAACTGAGCTGTCCTATTGGTTTGCATATAATGGGTGTTCTATCAAATAGTCAAATTGCTATATACACACTAGAAAAAAGATTGTAGTGATGGACATCAATAACAGATTTTATCCACCAAAGTCATTTCGAACCTCCTGGTACTGATGCTTTGGTCTTTAATCACAATGAAGCTATACAGACTCTAAGTTAGTTTTTCTTACAATATACATGTCTGATATATGTGACCTGTTGTTGTTCTAAATCAGGAATGGGAGTGCTTATCTATTTTTAAGATAACATTAAGCTGACCAGCCTTTTTTTATTACTGATCTAAATGCCTATTGGTTAAGCAGCTTAAGACTTTGTACTTCCTGTTTCTAATTGCTTACTTAGTGTGTTCCTTGCTTGCTGTTTCGTTTAAGCTACACTTGTCTGGTTCAATGAAAAGCTCAATGGTTATTTTTTAAGGATATTGTATGTAGCCCATTCTTCGTCTGTTATTCATTGTAGTCTTTTTACTCAAAGCTCTTTCACTCATTTATATGGCTATCAGTTGAACACCTTAGGTTATTATGCCTGTTTTATCCCAAGTATATACAGACTATTTTTTGGCTTGAAATTGCAGAAGTATGTGTAAATTTATATGCTAATCTTATCTAGGTGTATCATTGGGTCCCCTAATAGCATTAATTTGACTACCATTCGAGCTGAATCAGGAAGGCAACAAATTCCAGTAGGATGTAGTTCTTGGATTGAGGAGTTGGCTGCTTTTAATCATTCATGTATTTGACAAAGGTGAAAGTGCCATTTATGAGAGTCGGTCTTGTTTTTGTGGACTAAATGGATTTCTTAAGGTCATAAAGCTGCAATACTCATTTCTGATTTTGATGTCCTTTGGTATAATGAACATACTTTAATGTCCTTTTCAAACTTGATTCTGTGCCTTGGAGAGTAGAGTACATTTTCTTATCTTTATAACTGAACTTCATTAATTGATACCTTATTTAACTTTGAAGCAGCTCTGTATTTGTTTTCTGTTCTTATTTTCCATATTTCTTTAGTAACTTATCTTTTTTCTCCTCTCCAGAATTACCACTTAATATAGGCCATGGACAATTATCATTTTATCAGCAATTTAAATAGATTACAGTAATGGATGCTAATCCCAATTCCCAGGCATCATGAACTTATAACCCATACTTGGAACATCTTAATGTATCTAAATTGATTACAACTTTATAGGTCAACAGCTCATATAGCAAACTAATGCAAGCATTATCATTTACTGTTTTTCTTTCCCCCCCTTTTGTCTATGCTCTTTCCCTGATATTTCTTTTTCCCTGTGTTTTGTTGCTTGGATAGTCTACACCTCATCCTAGGCGCAAAGCTTTTTGCATTTCCCTATCTGATTTATCGTTGCTGTTACCAGGTATGCCTAATGCTTCAGCCTGACTTTTACACAAAAAAACCTGTTCTTAGCTGTATTGTCTCCTTAGCTCATGTTTTTTTATGCTTTTGCTATTAGACTTTGATGCCTCTATATACTCAGTGCCTTTCACCTCTGCTTAGTCGTATGTCCAGTTGGTTTTACATTTATTCTGTGGTTGCTTTCTGTTTATTTGATTGTCTAATATTGTTTGCACAAGAGTATATAAACAATCATATAATATAGAACAATTATATGATTGACTAAATTGTCATCGAGATATCTGATAGTCAGCCATTACATTAGAGAAGTTCCATTAGCTATTTTATCCTGTCTACCTTGATGGACTAGCATCCTTCTTTTCTTATATATTTTGTCACAAACGAGCCTTCTGAGAATGCTACTGGTATTCCTCCATTTGAGGTGACTCAAAAATATGGATAAAGTTAGTTATAGAAAACAAGCTATTCAAAGATGGAGGCAAAAACGATTAGATAGGCTGTCGCGGCTTCGTGCCTCGGGACCCTCAAATGTAATTAATGTTCCTCACTTGCTTCCTATAGGTCCCAATGACAGCCAACTATCTATGAGTAGATCACTTCCATTTCTACACAATCAATTTCTTGCTATAAGAAATAATGGAAGCGAAAAAAATATGGGATATAGAAGCAAAAAAACCCAGAAAGATGGCTTGCTTCACTCCATATCGTTGGAATCAAATCAGCCGTTTCTTCTTAGCCGCCCGAATGTCCATTCTATCCTGCCAACCAATTCAAATGACACAGAAGCATCCATGAATATGCCATTTATATTTGCACCACTTGAGCCTTCCAGTATAGCCTATAACAAAGAGGATCATCCTACATTAGAACCTGATATATTGCAGATGCATTGTATGCATGAAACAGAGCAAATAGAAGCTGAAAATGCTAGCTGCTCTAGGCTTGTGACTCACCCTATTGAGTCTGGTATGCCTCATCCTGTGAACCCAGCTACTTTGCTGTTTACAAGTTCAAATATGGTGCATTCAATGGTCAATGCGCCATCTGAACTCTTGGCAACAAAAAATCCCGTTGCAGCAAATAATAGAAGGCAAAGATCTGTGATACTAAAACATAAAAGATGCCAAGAAAAAAAGACATCTAAAAGTTCGCCTCCCAAACCTCAACTTCCTCTTCCTTCAATTGTTGCCATCCCTGCAGTGGATACTGTGCAATCAAAATCAATTCAATATGAATCCACAGGTGCTTGCCTGAATCCCTATTTTAACTGAACTTTCATACAGTTAAGCTCACCGAACAGTTTCATACCAGTACTTTTTTCATGCCCGTATTTTAACAGGTCATCGAACAGTTAAGCTCATACAGTTTCATACCAGTATTCTTTTCATATCATTATTTTCACTAATTTCTGCATATTTTCCAAGTTAGCCATTTTAAGCTTTTGTAAAAAGTATATGCCTTCTATTCACTGTCAACCAAAATAGGTCTGTAACATTAAAAATATTATGTGATTTTATTTTAAACTCGTTTTGTCTTTTAAAGCCTTTTTTATAAATTCCAGCTTCCTATGCCTTCAATCTTAAAATTAAATCAATTACTCTAACTTATCATTCTCTAAACTATAAAATTAATTTTATACAATTTTCATGACCTTTTCACATTTAGAACAATTCACTTAGCTACTGGAATCATCATCCTTTTACAAACAGTGTTTTCCAACCCTTTAGTCTACCATGAAAAAACTTTAACCTTAGATAAACCTTTCCCATAAACATAGACTTTTAACCCACTACACCCCTTAGCGCTTTTGTTTAACTTATACCATATTCTATCCAGTTTCAGTAGCAAACACTGAAGGAATAGATAGAGCCATACTCCAATCAAACCAAGTAAAGCCTAAGAGAAAGCGTGCAGGTTTTGTGAACTTTTCAATGTCTTACTAGCTTCAGTTTGCTAATTTCTACTTCCCTGCATTACACAAAATGAATAACTAGATATCTTTTCCTTGTCGATTATAGCAAGAACGCCAAAAATAGGTCGGGAGGTCTTAAACCACATTCCTACTGCTGCTGATCTGCTTCCTCGCCAACGCAACTGTCCCCATTGTAGTGCAAAAAAATTTGCTCATGAAACAGCAAATTTTTGTTGTTCTAATGGGGATGTTATTTTAGCTAGCAATTCAATCCCAACTGTTCTAAAAGAACTTCTGATGTCAACATCTGAGGAAGCTCAACTGTTTAGAACCTGTATTAGAACAATTAATAACACATTTGCTTTCACTTCCTTTGGAGTAAAATGTGATAAAGATTTGGCTAAGAGAAATAAGGGCATTTATACTTTTAAAGTGCAAGGTCAGGTCTATCATTTCATCAATGATTTAGAGACCTCAAAAAATTTGCAATTCTATTTTCATGACAGTGAAAATGAATTAGCAAATCGATTAGATGCCTACCCAAGATTAACTGAGAGTATTCTCCAAAAAACCATGAATCTCATGCAGCAAAATCCCTATGCTAGATTCTTTCGCGGCTTGAGAGAAGTTCATAACCTTGATACTTATCGCATTGTTTTACGAACACACCCTGGTTTAGACCAAAGAGTATTCAATAAGCCTACAGTGTCCCAAGTTGCTGCTTTATGGGTAGAAGGAGAAGAAAATGGAGAAACAAGCCGTCGAGATATTCGAGTGTACACCCATGGTGGCCATTCACACAATATCCAATATTACTATGGCTGTTATGACCCTCTCCAGTACCCTCTTTTGCTTCCTTTTGGTGAAGCTGGTTGGCATCAAGGGATTAAAAAACACGGGAAAAAGGTGCACAAAAAAAAGACTAGGAAAAGGGATGCTCAAATTTCTATTTCTCCAATGAATGCTTCTACTGCTGAAGAGTTAATACAAATGGAACAAGACTGTAAGTAGAATAAATCTTTTCCACCTGTATTCTATTAATTTTAGCATACCAGCCTCATTAACCTTTTTTCTAAATTCCTTCAACCAGTAATGGCAGGAATAGACGGCGATCCTGATTTCGTTTCCATCCGTGAATACTATGCCTATAAATTGCAAATGAGAAATGATGATGAATCTTTCTTACTGCACTTTGGTAGGCTATTTCAGCAATATGTTGTTGATATGTATGTTAAACTTGAATCACAAAGATTAGATTATTTGAGAACCCAGCAAGAAGAATTTAGAAAAGAATTCTTACAAGGTATAGTAGACTCAATAGGTACTGGTGAAGTCCGGGCAGCAAATGTCGGTCAAAGAGTATTTTTACCAGCTAGCTTTATTGGAGGACCAAGAAATATGAGAAGAAAATACATAGATGCAATGACTTTGGTCCAAAAATTTGGCAAGCCGGATATATTCTTGACCATGACTTGCAATCCCAATTGGCCGGAAATAAAAGAACATTTATTGCCAACAGAGGAAGCCCAAAATCGACCAGATTTGGTTGTAAGGGTCTTTCGTGCTAAACTAGAAGAATTAAAGAATGAACTTTTGAAGAAAAATATTTTTGGAGAAGTGGCAGCCTATACATATGTGATAGAATTTCAAAAAAGAGGCCTGCCACATGTTCATTTTCTTTTAATCTTAAAGCCTCAGCACAAAATGTTCATCCCTGATGAATATGATAAAATTGTGAGTGCAGAAATTCCAGATAAAACAAAATATCCGCACCTGTACAGAATGGTTAAAAAACACATGATGCACGGTCCTTGTGGTGTGTTGAACCCATCAAATGTTTGCATGACTAAGCATGGCTGCTGTAAAAATTCTTATCCAAAAGAGTATTCTGAGCATACAATTCAGACACTAGATTCCTATCCACAATATCGAAGAAGAAACAATGGTGTTAAGATTAAAGTCAGAAAACAAAAACTTGATAATACATGGGTTGTTCCTCATAATGCATATTTACTTGCTAAGTTCAATTGCCACATTAATGTTGAGATCTGCTCAACAATTCAGGCTGTCAAATATATTTACAAGTATATCTGCAAAGGCCATGATCGAATCAGTTTCCATATCAATTCTGATAATCCAAACAATCAGATTGATGAAATTCAGCAATACCAGGCAGCTCGGTGGGTTTCCCCGCCTGAAGCTGTTTGGAGACTATTTCGCTTTTCCATGGGAGAAATTAAACCAGCTATCATTCACCTTCAATTGCATCTTCCAAATTTTCAGCCAATTCACTTCAAGAAGCATGAGAATTTAAATAACATAGTCAAAAATCCAAGAAATAGGAAGACAATGTTGACTGAATTTTTCTATATGAATAGAACAGATTCAGTTGCACAAGAACTAAATTGCACATACGCTCAATTTCCAGACCATTTTGTCTGGTTAGCTAAAGAAAAACGCTGGAAAATTAGAGATAGGGGAGATTCTATAGGCCGAATAAATACAGCTCATCCATCTGAGGGAGAAAGATATTACCTTAGACTTCTTTTGTCTAAAGTTCGTGCTCCAAAGTCTTTTGAAGACTTAATGACTCACAATGGAGTGCAAGTTACCACCTTTCGTGAAGCAGCTCTCTTACGTGGCCTTCTTGAGAATGATAATAGTCAGGAAATTTGCCTACAAGAAGCGTCTCTTTTTCATATGCCTTATGAAATGAGACGCCTTTTTGCTACGCTATTAGTTTATTCCTGTCCTAATGACCCCAAACAGCTATGGACAAAATTTGAGGCTGTCATGTCCGAAGATTTCATGAGAAATACTTCTTTGTCTCCTACAGAAATCAAACGAAAAGTTTTAGAGCAAATAAATGGTTTTCTACAGTCAATGGGAAAAAATATAGCTTCGTTTGGCTTACTTCCTAATAATTTCTCATTCTCAGATGTAGACAACCAAACAAGAGATGTATTGGCTGAAAAAAACATAAAAGTTCTTGAAGAGGACTTAAATGCAATTTCTTTGCTTAATCTGAACCAAACGCATGCATTTGAAGTTATATCTAAAAGAGTTTATGAAAATAAGAGTGGTGCATTTTTTGTTGATGGCCCTGGTGGAACTGGAAAATCTTTTCTTTATAGAGCGTTGTTAGCTGATATTAGATCAAAGGGATATATAGCATTAGCGACAGCCACATCAGGTATCGCTGCATCAATACTACCTGGAGGTAGAACTGCTCATTCTCGGTTTAAAATACCAATTGATACCTCACAGGGTAGAGCATGCAAAATTAGTAAGCAAAGCAGTTTGGCAAGTATGATTAAGGAATGCAAATTAATTATTTGGGATGAGGCTCCAATGTGCAAGAGATCTGCGATTGAAGCTTTAAATGATTTTCTTAGAGATCTTATGAATTCAGATAAGATTTTTGGTGGGAAAGTAATTGTTCTTGGGGGTGATTTCAGGCAAACCTTACCAGTAGTTCGTAAGGGAAGCCAACCTGAAACCATTGCTGCTTCTTTGATTAATTCCCCTATCTGGCCAGCTCTTGAAAAATTAGAGCTCACACAAAACATGAGGGCTCGATTTGATCCCTCATTCACCGATTACTTATTAAGGGTTGGTGATGGCACTGACCAAACTGAAGATGACAGTCTCATACACCTGCCTTCTTCTATTTTGGTTAGCAACGGTTCACAGAATGCATCACTTCATGACCTGATAGATGTGGTTTATCCCCACATCCATTATAGATCAGAAAATCCTGCCTTGCCATTAAATCGAGCAATCCTCACTACAAAGAATCATTTTGTGGATGAAGTGAATGATATCTTAATTGATAAATTTCCAGGTACAGCAGTAGAATATCTGAGTTTCGACCGAGCTTTGAATCCAAATAACCAAGTTCAATATGAAGATTTTTTAAACTCCTTATCTCCCAGTGGCCTTCCACCCTATAAGCTAATCTTGAAACCTGGTGTTCCTGTGATATTACTTAGGAACCTGGACCCTACTGAGGGTCTTTGCAATGGAACAAGATTAATTTGTAAAAGTTTGAGCAAATATGTCATTCATGCTCAAATAGCTGTAGGAGATTTTGCTGGAAAAGATGTCTTCATCCATAGAATTCCCTTACAACCTCCAACTGATGAACAATATCCTATTCCATATACAAGGACTCAATTTTCAATTCGCTTGTGCTTTGCCATGACAATAAACAAAGCTCAAGGACAAACACTTGATTATGTTGGTATCTATTTGAAGGAACCGGTGTTTTCCCATGGCCAGCTCTATGTTGCATTATCACGAGCAAGAACTGCTTCTCAAGTCAAAGTGCTCATTAAACCTCCCTTTTTTGACAAGCCTAGAACAGACCAGACAAAAAATATTGTATTTAGAGAAGTTCTTGAAACTTCTCGCATAGCTGCCAAGTAAATATGTTGTTTTAGGATTCAGTTTCAACTTTCCTGAATGTTCCAGAATTTCTCTTTTAACTTACAAACTGATTATGTGTCTCTCTCATTATTATAGATAACAATGGCAAGGAGATGTCTATCAGTGCATGAAGTCAACGACAAGATGAGAAGGTGGACAGTGCTTGTGCAAGTTGTGGAGAAATCGCACGTGTTAACCAGTAACAGATCGCCGCCTATCAGATTTCAGCGTCTCGTGTTAACAGATTCTGAGGTAATATAAGCTCAAACTAATCTTGGCAATTTAACATTTCCTAAATCATCAACATGTCCAGATCATTAATCATCCTCTGTGCAATTTCATTTCAGGCCAATTGACTATAGTAAAATTCTGATTTAACTTACATGATTCTACCCTATAATATTCCAAGACTTGTTATTAACCAATGATATATGCCTAATCAGTATAACTTTCTCTATGGGAGATCATATATAGTGATTTGAAAATGTTACAGCTTAGATGCATTTGAGTGCCTCAATGTGCGTTCAATGACTAAAACAAAATACAGAAGTTTACCTGTTCCCAATTTTACTCCTCTGGACTTACGAAGTACAGAGAACTTCTTGAAATTTTCAAGAAGGAAAAGAATCTCAAAAAAATCCTGCTACTAACGTGACCAATAGCTGCTAAAGTATCTATACAGAAAGCGTTTAGATTTTTTCTGCTTCGATTCTTTCGAAGAGTCCCACGTTTTCTCCTGTTACATATCCCTGTATCTGAAATACTTTCTTTCCCTTTATAGAGAATTGAGGCAAAGCATGGCAGTCTGTTGATAACATTAATTGATAGCAGTCTCTTGTCAAATTCTGTTCTCATTTTTCTACCATTTTGCTTCATAAATGTCTCTGGTTATTCTTAGTGGTTTGCTTCTTCCAACTCAAACATTGCTGTTATATGTTTTCTTCCCCCTCTTCCTCCTTAAAAAAAAAAAACCCCTGGATACTTGCTGTTGTATGTTTCTTACCTTAAGTGTTCTACTTCAGCCTTTTGGTTAATATTGCTCATCTTGGTTCTTTCTACGAACAGGGGACTCTGGTTTCAGCTGTCATTTATGGAAATGACATTCGCTATTTTTCTAATCTGCTTCAACCATTCAAGCGATACTATATTACTGGTGGGACTGTCAAAAAACAGGATGCAAAGTATAAAGTTAGTGACTATCAGTTCTCATGGGTGCTTCATAACAAGACATTAGTTGAAGAGTATGTCGAACCAAATCCACCACTGCTACCATGCACTTTTGAATTCACCAAATTTGAAGACCTTTTTAGGTTCACAGACACAGAGAATGTTCAGAGTAAGTTATATCTATGCTTTACTAATTGAAATATAAATTCATTTTCATATTTTCTTTAGCTATTCAAACACATCTAACCTCTTCTCTTTTGGTTTGTACTAAGATTTACAAGCTGTTGTTGTCACTGCATTTGCGACAAAGGAACAGAATAACGGGTGTACAACAAGAGACTTCATTGTTGTGAATGAAGAGTTAGTTATATAGACCTTACTTTTCATATTCCTATTCAATGCATAAAATTGTTCCATTCACATTTTCCCCTGTTTTTCCTCTTCTTTGTAAAGGAAAAAGCCAATGCTTCTTACTCTTTGGAATGAGTTCGAACAAAATCAGGGAACACAGCTTGCAAACAGTATTGGGAATGCCAACGTTATCATTGGCATGAAGCTGAAAATCACAACTTTTAATTGTAAGTGAAGTTAATATACTTTTAACAGCTTATACTTCAATGATAGTCATCCAGTTACAATAACTCAGCCTATCACTGTCTTTTAAATTGCTCTATTACTTAATGAAAATTATTGCTTTTACTCTTAGACTTATCCCTGACAACCAAGCCTGGGAGTGGCCTTCTGATTAATCCTCCCACTTCTGAAGCAAATGCACTCAAAGATTGGTACGCATGTTCTTTGATCATTTTACTTAAACTTTTCTAGATCCTTTTGATAAATTATTGTCCGTTGCATTCATTTCTTGGATAGGTATAATGCAAATAAAGAAGAAATTGCAGAATTGATACAACAAATGGCATACAAAGATTCATCTAAGCTGCTGCCACCTCCAAGTTCTAAAGACATCATCAGTGTAGCCAATGCACTCAACACACTCAAAGATGTATCTTCTTTTTTCGTTTATGACCTGATTTATATCTTTTACCCATCCAAAATAATGCAAAACTCATATGTTCTTCTTTCTGTTTACAAAAACATCTATTAGGTGAAAACAGCTTGGATAACCGGCAAAATCAGCTTGTCCCCTGGACAACAAAAATTCTGGTTTGAAGCATGTGAGAACTGCCAAAAGGCTATCAATGTTGACGTAGGATGGGTTATGAGATGCTCATCTTGCAAAGAAGAGAGCAAAGTTATAGCAAGGTAATTACCGAATTAACTTTCCCTCTCTTGTAATGAATTAGAATATAATATTTTATTTCCAATATGTAATAGGACCCGAGTTGGGATTGCTGTTGATGATGGTACGGGCTCCATAAATACCGTTATCTTTGGCCTTGATGCTGAAAAGCTTATCCCATTTACAGCACTTCAATTCTGGGAAGCTCATACTGAGGTGAGCTAACAATCTTCTGCCTATATTTCTGCTGCAATGAACTTCATGTGCCTATATTTCTGCTGTCAATTATAATTTCCTATATGGAATTGCCACTTTCATCTTTGTTTTCCATTTTTTTGGTTGTTTTTTGTCTGTGATGCTCAGCCAGTTGGTTTGCCTGCTAATTTGAACTTTCATGCTTGTAGCCTTTTCTATTAGTTACTGAAGCCACAAACTGTCAAATACTTACTGTTGTGTGAGGCTAATTTAACACATTCCACCTTACAAAGTCCTGCCTATACATGAGAATGCAGTTAGAGTTGGAACACTGTTTGCACTCTCACACCTGAGCTCAAAACCTTCTCCCAGTAGTCCAATTCCTGTATCAAATCAACCACTCTGGATAGCTTAGATAGCCTTAATTTTCTAGATAGCCTTTACCAAGGAAACCAGTTATCAAACCAGAATGAGATGCTCTTCCCGTCACCAATATCGAAACTAATCAGGAGTTGTACAAATGTCTGAGCTAAAGGATATTCCTCCATATCCAGAAGCACTAGGTAGAGATTCTAAGGTCCCAGAAGCTACATTTGTTTACCATGACAGAGCGGATCCATCTCACCCCTAAATATCTGACCATTTTTATCTAGCTATAAAATTATCCTAAATCTCTCCAGACCATAGGAAAAAAAAAAAAACTACTAAGGAGTATGAACACGCTTGCCCAATTAACATATATGCCACTCAAAACTGATTATAACAACTGCATTCGAATTTGAACTTAGTGGAGATCAATGGCAGTCCCAGCTCCCAAGTATTTTATAGCTTCTCAGCTGTCTGATCATCCACCCCTGCTAAAAATAAACCACACTTTGGTAGATTTCGTTTTCATCCAGATAATCAGTCAAATAGTTCTGCCTTCTTCTCACCAAGTGACTTTCTGTTCATACAACACCTGGAACATCTCTCCTTTGTTGTTTTTCCTGGTCTATATTAATGCGCCAAATGAACTCAAAAAAATTCAGCCTTCTTAGGCCTTTACCCGAATACAAAAAAAAAAAAAAAGAGTCTTATTTAGTTCATTGAGCTCTAATGGTAATAACTATCGAATAATCTGATTCTTACGCTTCTTTTCTTTGGTATCAATGCTGCTCTTTCCACGTAAAAGTGTTATGATAGTAACATAATCTCTTCGGTATAATATGTTTTGTTTCCTTCCATAACTTATGCCTGGATCCAGTTCTATTTATACAGCATGAAGTTACTCAGAATTTAAATATCATTGCTAATTATTTATACTTTAAAACAAAAAAAATTCAGGAGCTTAACTTTTCTGCTGAACTAGCATCTGCACTTGAAAAGCATGCAATTGTGTGTTTCATTCGCTACTATGAGTCAGATTATCAAGGCCAGAAGGAAGGCAAGTATAATATTGTCAAGGCATACACTGCTGAGGAATCAGCTCACATTCCAATGGTCATCACAACTGCAGAAGCCAATGAAATAATTCCAGACCAGCAAGCTACTGTCCTGCAGCCTACCAAGAAGACTGAATTTTTCAGTCCATCAACCAAAAAGATCCTTGATGCCATTGCTGAATCATCTACTGCTGCAAATGAACTGCCGCCTGCAGTGACAACATCAAAGAGGGCCTTGGTTTTTGGAACTGTGCCTCCTGGAATTGGTTTGGATTCTGCTGAAGCTAATACACCTACCTTGCTGTCCACCAATGCACTTGGAAGTCCCTTGAAGAAGCAGCGTGACGATGAACTCTGAACTTCCTTGAAGCCTTTTGAATTCTTCATTTTGCTAATGTTAAAACACTTTACAGCTGCATTAATATTGACATCCATTAAGAAATTGTTCTTTTGTGCACCTTAATGGATCTCAATATGTGATCTTTTGTAATTGCAGCCTATGATTGCACTTTATATTTGAAGATGTTAAGCTATTTATGAAACTACTTGTCAACCTTTTGTCATCTTCTTTTATCTGTTGCAATACTAATGATTGGTGATGTTTTGTTTAGTCTCATATTCTTAGCTACATACTTGATTGGTTATTATTTGCTAACAGATTATAGGGGGCCTAGGTTGTGCTTAGCACAGCCGATAACCCCCTAGTCTACCTACTCGATAAATAAAGGTCCTCTTTCACTATAGCAACCCTTATTACTTGACACGTGACAGCTAGAATGGAGAGATTTTTCTCCAGTAGGGTCACTCGACATTTGACCCATCAAATGACATCAAGAAGCTTTTAACAATGGAGCCCGCTACTTGTTGTAAGAGAAATCAAGAGAGTCAGAGATTGCTTCTGACAGTCGTAGAATTTTTTTTTTCTTCGACAATGATAATAATTATATAATTTATTTTATCTTAATTTACAGAGAATG